TAAAGAATAAAGCAACACTTCGCGTTTGCTCCACAAGAATATAAACAATAAATGTCAGTTCACCCAATCTTCTTAATTGCAATGAAGCTTCTAGAATCTAGATATAATAGAAGTTATTATGTTTTATTAAGATAAAATTCTGATTTTATGGAACATATGGCATGTACTTCTTCCACTTTAATATTTGAAGGGTGAAATTTCGAGCATGAGGATAAATAGACTATCGGAACTGCATCTCAAGACAAGATAGTGCTCACTGATTTACGATTCATGGTTGCAGCGCTGCTCTTGAGTGGAAAATTTTAAAAATTCCGTTCTTGTTCTAAATTTTCTGTTTTCTAGAGAAGCACTCAGGTTGTTATTATAAAATTTATCTACCAATAAAAGCTGACGCTTTGCGTTCATCAGAGCCTGAGAAGGTAGAGTTGAGTGTAACCTAGTCGGCCAAGTACCTCCTCAACACAAAGGCCACGATATTTAAATTCCAATTTCAGTGAAAACGAAATAGGTTCTTCACACTCACTGTATTCTATCACATCTCCAGTGAGTTACGTGGGATTCGAAACGTATAGAGTTTATAAGGGTAGGTAATACTCCCTTCAGTAGCGAAATAGTTAGCGGTTCAGATTGGTGTAGAATAGCATTAGTCTTCTATGTGGTGTGAGATCACGTGTGATAACGAGGCGTTCCTCCCTTCAGCTGGCGTTACAGGCGATTGCATGAATTCGTGCATGTACAGTGTTCCTGATTTCTTGTATAGAGTGAGCCCACGAATATGCTGGCGAAACCGGTAGACCACTGTGTGTCCGTATAAAACAACATTTAGACGGTAAGCGTAAAGTTAAACAAACTGCTCACTACGTTCGCTTAGGGTACGGACACGTATCAGGAAAGATTTCGAAGTATAAGTGGCCGTCCTCGAGCAGGAATCTAAGGGTTCGGAGCGTAAAACTCACGAATCATTCTGAGTAAAATTCAAGGATCCAAAAATGCACCGATAGGAGGAATGTCTCTTTGTTTCCCATAATCTCAAACAGTATTTAAGACTGGTACTTTGATGTTACACAGAGACATTACGCTCTTATGTGGACTCTTTACGTTCGGTTTCCATGTGTAATGATCAATGGACAAATCAACGAAAATTTGTGTATATGTGTGTGTGTGTGTGTGTGTGTGTGTGTGTTTATGTATGAAGAAGCCCCTTTGTTTATAATTCAGATAAAATTTGAATATCTAGGTTATGCTGTTGAAAACACGGAGGTACTTGCTCGACAACGTTACATTAAACTTGACCTTTTCCATTCTCCGGAGAAGGTGAAAACCAAGTAAACGTCAACTACTGTGAAGGAGAAGTATAGTAGCAACACGTGCTCATCTCATGTATGCTCATCAAGAAAACAGCGAATTATTGTAACTGCCGACGTCAATTGATAGTTGGTTCCGGGATTCATACGTTTTTTGAAAGTTTTTTAAAATTTTAACTTATTATTTACTGCCTACTCTTTTTAACGGCAGGGTATATATTGCGAAATATAACTTTAATGATGCTGAGATATTTGCAAAACTACGAACCGTAGGTGTCTGCGGTGGGGAACGAAGGGGCTATTGTCCTTTCCGTGGAATAACGCGTTCACCACCAAACCATGCGGGTCCTTCGTTTCGCCTGTCTCTCAGCTAGGTCTATCGATCTTTTGCGATCAGCATTTTTTTTTATCCTAGACATGTTCGAAATTTAAAGGTCATGCAGAATGATTATTTGTGCAAATAGTACAATGTCCCTTTAATAAACTTGTGGAGTTTTGAGTCCTTAAAGTGCTCTAGTGATTAAGAAATTACCTCCAATTACTAAAAGACCAAAACAGGGAGTTCTTTGTGAAATATTATAAAGAATGAATTAACTTTAGTTATTGACTTTTTCGTAGAAATTTGGGAAAAATGGTTTTAAAAAATCAGGCCACAAAAAAGGATGAGACTAGAATCATTTAGTAAGATTACGTGAACGTCAAGGAACCGTTCAAATGAGTATACTCACCTAAGTAGAACTAGTCATTCTAAGAAATTGCTGACATGGATTAATCAGTTTCTCGAGTTAACATTTTTGTTGCTTAGTGACCATTAAAGTGTAGCTTATGTTTAAGTTTCGAAGCGTTCCTTAACTGCCCCTGATATTTTCACATTCTGTCAGACGGAAAACTCACTATGTATCCCATGTTTTTCTTTAAAAAACAGACACGAGGTTGTTATTATAGAATTTATTAGGATACAGTAGCTGACGTTTCGCCGGTTTCGCCTTCTTCAGAACTCACTATTCTCCTCCAAAGGGAATCTTCCAAAGAAAAATTCCAAAGGGAATGATGCCCTGTTTGTATCGAAGAGAAGCGCGTAGGAGTCGCATTTCGATGTCTGTCTTCGATGCAAACAGGCCACCATGTACGTGCAATTGAAGAAGTGCAAGTCGAAGGAATCTCATTGTGTTTAGTATTTGGAAGGTTCCCTTTGGAGGAGAATAGTGGGTTCTGAAGAAGTCGAAACCACCGAAACGTCCGCTATTGTATCCTAATAAATTCTATAATAACAACCTTGTATCTGCTTTTTGAAGAAAAACATCGAATTATCAATCAATGCCGAGGTTAACAGAAAGTCGGTCATGGGAATCACTATGTATCGTCTACTCTACCCAGATTTTGGACATCAACAGTAGCTATTTCAATCTATAGTAGCGTTCGTGCCCCGTTCATGCTCCCACTACTTGTCTAAGCCTTTAGCCTCTTATTAAACTGTCTTCTATCCTTCGTGGAGAATGAAGAATTAACATATTATTCTACATTTTTATTAGATGTCTATTTGTTGGTCCCAAGAAATTATTGTGCGGTCTTAATCCGCTTTACCACGTCAGTGTAACAAAGTACGGTTTGTTTTGGGAAAAAATACATCGATTGTTGGCCGAGGTAATACACCACCGACATAAGCAAACAGTTCGCAGTCGAAAAGTCCTTGTTGCCGACTGAACAGTAGCATGCCGAGGTTTCTGATCGGAGATCGGAAAGTTACTACGGCGCTTCGTTTTGGCAACGTAATATCTGGGCATTATTCATGTTTTGTTGCAGTGATTCGTTGTTCTTCTTTGCAGTTATGATCTTGTTATCGATTACTAGCAATTCACCAATTGAACACATGTAATAATGTAAATCAATCGAAAAGAGGAAGAAAGCCACTCACGAACAGGAGCGTTTTCCATTCGCCAGCCTCTCTATGCATGGAGAACAAACATAAGATGTTTCCCCAAAGATTGTAGAAAAATGTGTAGGTCTCTTAAGAAGTTGAATTGTAAGTTGAACGACTTGATAGAATTAACACGACGGCTAATACAGAACAGGCGATGACGAACGCATGTCAATATCTTCTAAATTTGGCAAAAAAGCGAAAATCTTATTACGGTTGCTTTTAGTAAAGGAATGTAACACTGGTTGAAGTTATGCACGCGTTTATACCATTTCATTTTCGTTTCTAGGATTAACATACTCAGACAGAGATCACATCGCACACAGATTTGAGCAGCTTTCCATAATCGATCGAATGATGCTGTAATCGATAAATTATTCAAATATGCGGGATTAATAACAAACCTGTAGCGTACGTGAACGACGTTGATATGAAGCCGATGAGCAAAGTCTCTCATTAATAGTATGATTTAGCAGTTCTCACATGCACGTGGTTATTTGAAATTTCTAGAGTGAAACGAGTGTTTGAAATTACGAATTGTCAAAGTTTTTTCTAAAGACCGTCGTTTTGTTATACCGCAGTACCACTGTAGTCCGCCCATTCTTCAGCTTATATAAGAGAGTGAACTTTGTAAGGTGCAGCAGTTAAATCACACTCGCCGTTGCTGTTCCTGAAATGCGATTTCTTCCACTTGTGCTGACGGTTAGTAGATTTCCTGTGATCAAATTAAATCGGTCCGCCAGGGAATCTGGCATTACGAAAGAATTGCTGGCTACATGTTCACCTTCAGTGATTAATCCCACCTTTCTGGTCTAAACAACGACCACTTGAAATCGTCTCAACATATGTAAAGCGTGAGGTTTTCCTTAGGGCAGCGGTAACTATAGAACTGTGATACAATAGTATAATACCATTTCGTGTTAAGCGAAGGTTTTATTCCCTTTAATTTTCTAAAGTTCTCGGACTTTCCACTATTAAAACCAGTTGTTACTTATAGGTTTTCCTCCATGGAACTCGCTCAATTTCCATCAGAACACCTCACGTGGAAAATTGTGTGGATTTTGATTACAATTGTTGGTACACAAACATATCGTATCATGATGAGGTAAGCCCGTTATAACACAGTCATATTCAATAAACCGCTGCTTAACTCGACTTTATCCTATTTTCAATCTTCGACTTTCTAACCTTTTTGTTCTCATTTAGTTAAATTAAACTTGATTTAAAAGCGCGTGTGGCGCAGTGGTTGGGGAGTCTTGCGAGATACACGTGTAATCGATCTCCACACCCATGGACCACCAAACCTTCCATCCCTCCGAGGTCGGAAAACTGGTACCAGACTTGTCTGAGAGGATAGCAGCACTAGCTTTATATATCGTTAGGTCATAGAGAGTCATGGTAAAGGCCAGATATGCATTCAATCACCTCCAAAAGGATGCTCGATGAAGTCGGCTGCATAGCGGATCACTCAGGGATTGATCAACGCTGAAAGCTTTATCCTTTTATTCTTTTAACCTTGATTTATTTAAAACCATAAAGTCTTAGCTTTTTTGCCTATTTTTTTTCTTCAGAGTACTATGTGCAATACAACAACAACGATGCTGAAATATGAGCAAAGCGTAGAGGTTGTCGCAGGTTCGAAGCCCACACTGGAGCTCAAAGTTTTGATCATATCTCATCATCTTTGTGACTAACTTAAATTCAATACATAATTAAAGCTAAAACTTTGGAAGCAAATTATGCACAGGTCACGCCGAGAAATTTCACTGTCATAACAGTTCCTGACGGCGTGAAGACGTACAGTCTCGTTGCCATCACCGACATGGACGAGGACGCAAGGAGCGTCACTAATTGGACATGGCGTGCGGTCACAAGAAAAGGGAATTTGACGATCGACGAAAATGTTAAAAACATCACAGTAACCTGGGCGAATGACTCGGATGAGAATCTGATCACGTAGGTAGTCATTTATTCGATCGAGAAAATGCTGTTACAGGTTGGAAGACAACTTAGAAAAACACCATGGAAGAACTTTGTTTTTATTCTTTTTCTACTTCTGTTTAGCAAACACGAGGTGCTATTTTATTTCTTTGTTTACGCACAAGCCGACGTTTCGGCGGATTTCGTCTTCCTCAGAGCCTGGAAGTGTCAACTTGACAGCAACCTATCCGGCCAAACACCTCCATAACCAGACAGAGAAAACGCTAAACCAAGATTTCAATCACATTTAGCATAGCTCTGCACACTCACCGCTTTCTATGAGTCTTCCACTGAGTATGCCGCGTGGAGACCAACCGCACAGAATTCACATGGAAGCGTAATGTGCCCCTCCCATCAGAATGGCAGGCTTATATACTGACCAATTTCTCACACGATAATGAGGCATTCTTCACTGCGGTTCATTTTCGGTTTCTTGGAATCAATCCAAAATACCTCGAGAGTTTTGCGCGAGGATCGTAACTCTTACTTCAAAATCTTCTCCGTTATGTTTCTGCGTGCTATGCGTACCTAGTGGAGTACTTGGCTTACGTTTGCCGACTAGGTGTTCTTTTATACGTACGCAGAGTGGTCTACCGGTTTCGCCAACGTATTCGTCTCCGCACGCTTTGCAAGAGATCAGATATACTGTACCCCAACTCATGCAGTCACCATCTCTACCATGGAGCAAATTATGCAATTTTGCGTTCCACATAGACGGTCGCATAGGCGCTTACGAACTAGCTGGCGTCTTAGAGTGACCGGTGGTATTTTTATCACTCTTACGGAATTCTCTAGACCGGCCCTTGTTAAGCAGCGTTTTATAGCTGCACTTACTTCATTTAAATTGAAATTTAAATTCAGTTTCGTAGTCATTAAAAATGGCTATTAGCCGCACCAAGTTCCGTGACTCCTCTCTTTCCTCCCTTCCTGTGCACACGCCGGGAGCTGTTCGAAACATGTTTCTGACAAGCGCCCTTTTCGTGTGAGAGGGGTGAGAAGAGAGGCAATGAACCAGGATGTTTTTACTACTTGGCTTTCGATACCATTTCGTAATGTAGCCGTTTTCTGATAGGTTAATTTGCACGTTCAGAAATTGAAGCCAGTTTTTTTTGGTTTCTCTGAGATGAGTTTAATACACTCTGACTGGTCGTACAACAACTCGAAACATTTGTCCATTCTTGTCGTGTTGGTCAAAGGACGAAACAGTCATCTATATACCTGCAGTAGAGTAACGACCCGAGATCGCTCACTAGTGCTTCCACCTCAGACATGAACCCAATGGCAAGACTTAGTGCCAGTCGTTGTCCCATTGCCAGCCCTCTCATTTGTGCGTAATAACTCCCAAACCATTTGAAGATTGACAGTTTAGGCGCTCCTTTAAGAGTGTCATCAACTGCTGAATCGAGAAGCCATACATGTTTATTGCTCCTTCGTGTTGTATAAGGAGCTCGCGGATGGCTTGCATAGCGGAGTCATTCGACACGTTTGTATATAGGGCAGTGATGTCGGAAGACTCCACCACGTATGCGCGCTACGCAGACGATCCAGGAACACTTGAGTGTTCGTTAGATGGGGGCCCAACCACGCAGCTAATGATCTGACCTTAAATAACGATGAATCGGTAGACACGAGTTCATTCCTGGATGCTAACTTATGGGTTTTGATAAGTAAGTACAAGACGGGACATGTTGGCAAGTCAATTTTGAGATGAGAGATAACTGATGGTTTTAACCCAGCCGCTCTTTCCACTTTAACCCATTCGTTGTTTAACTTTCGGTATTGACTTTTAAATTCCTTCTCAGACGACGGACGATAAAGGAAAGCATCTTCAAGGTGCTTTTCCGTTATCTCAACGTCTAACTGATGAGAAATTACAACGAACTCTCCACCCTTATCACTAACCGAAAGTTTTATGCTTTTCGATCTTATCAGCTCTCGTACCTCCCGCATAACACGTTTTTGTATTTCAGTGAGGTTGGAGCAGTATCTCTTGGCGCGATAGTGATTAAGGACTTTGAAAGTTTCATTCGTAAACGTCCGAACTTTAACGTCAACTTCATTGTTGGGCTCTTGTTGTCTAAAGGACGGTTGAGGAAATGGTGGTACTGGTATTGCTCCTACTTGTTGTTGTTCGCGCCTATTTAGCGCTTCATCCTTAGCTTTTTTGCGGAGTCTGTCTTGAAGTTCATGTAAATCACATGCGACCCTACGCAAGGTTATCTTTGAAATGGGTTCAGATGGTGAGAAACTCGGCCCCAATTCCAATAACGAGCGCGCACCGTCAGGGAGAGTTATGCCTCCTAACACGGTTAGCCTTGAATTTTCTTGCACACTATTTGTCCTACTGTGACTCGTTTGATCTTCGTTGGCGCTGTTTCTGTATGCTCTTGGAGCCGTGCTATGGAATTTACTCAAAAGGTCTTCGAATTTTCTCCGCAAAGTTACTTTAGCCTTAGACCTAATAAATTTGCAAATCAACACTGACCCACCCACTATTCTCATCCAGAGACGGTCCTCCAAAAACTGAGCACAATAGCTTTCTTCCTTCTCGCACTTCTTCCACTTGGCGAGCATCTGGTTTTGTCGGCTTCGTAGACAGGTGTGTAGTACTTGCAATTCGATGTGCAGTACTCGGTGGTCATCCTCTGGCAGTCCACATACCTCGTGTAGTCGTCTTCTTTTTATGAATTTCGGAACGACTCGGTATTTTAGGCAGCTTGTTTTGTGTTTTTATACTTTTCCACGAAAGGACTTTGTTTTGTAGGTCTGAAATTCCAATACTGTTATTTTTCGTCCTTCAAAGCTTTATGCCGATTTCACAATACACTTCCTTCGTGATTTTTTTTAGAACTCAACCGCAATAAGTATAGCAAATAATCTATTGCAGACATCTGAATTGGAAAGGACGGGCTATGGAACTATCCGATTTGTCCAGTTTTAATGGTCGACTTCTTTCACCGGACGATAAGACAGGAATGCTGTACGAAATCAAAGGCGGAAAGGTGTGTTCGTGTGTACTCAACAGTAGTTGGCTATTCATTTCAACTATACGTATTTTGGAGGGAAACTTTTAGGGAAAATGTTTCATTTGAATCGGCTCTACACTTCGGTTTCAAAAAAATTTTGTCATTCTTTATTACATGTCCCGAGACTGCATTTACTACACTGTGCGCATCCCAGCACTTCGTCTCTTCAACTCGTTTCTTCTCATCCATCAATCCACGATAGGCTTTAGACGAACTCTTTTGCGTATTGCTCCTGGCGGATTTTTTCGTCTACCTTATGAATGTCGTTGAAAGCTGCTCTTGTTGCTTATTCCTGTAATTTTGAGAGAGTAATTCCACGTAGATTAGAGAAAACGAACTTGTCTCAGCAAATTTTAGTAGCAAGTTCCTGACCCTGGAGGAACAAGAGGCTTGATTCTTACTGTGTGGGATCGAAGGATAGGTAGGCAGCTCGGGAAATGATCATCACTACTGCGCTAACTACCTTTTTAAAAAATTAGTAGATATTAATCAAATTAGCTAGTTGCTGGCGTGCGTATTCGTTGTCGCTTTTAAATAACGACGTTAACCTATGCAAAGCACTTCTGAAACATTATTACCTAAAATCAAGAATCATCAATTGCTCATGCAACTGACCTTGTACTGATGCAAAATTGAATACAACGACAGCACGTATTGCTGACCACCATTATAGGCGATACCTTGGTTGTTCCTTAATTCTGGACCCGGTAACACCTCATATGGAATGAAGGCTGAATGGACAACTACAATAGGAAAATATCTTTTCGTTGGAAGTCACGGCACGGTTTGCATTATTCAGATTATAAGATTCTCGTCTTTAGCATCGAGCAATTTATTGCAGCAATTGAAATTAAACTCATTTTTAACAGAGTTCAGCTACTCACAGACTCAACTGGTTACATATTTTGGGATTATTTCAGGAGTATAAAAGCAAAAATGGAAATGTCATCAGTGAAGACCCAATGTGGATCAAAATCGTTTCCAAAAATGGAGAAGTGAATTGCTATGAACGAAATGCTTTTTTCCTCAAAGAAAATATTTATTTTGAAAAGTGACTGCATTTGTGGGAAAATTTTTCACAGTTTAGAGTTTAGTCAATGAGTTTAGAATGTTGTTCATTTTTAAAGGCTTTCCTCTGAGACCTTAATCGATGCTAATAAGGTAGAACCGAAAAATTTTCTCTCTACGCTTTTAAGAAGAGTGCGAAAGATTCGTTTTGTTTTTTTTTTCTTGGCATATACATTTTAGGTTAGAAGTTGTAAATGGAAGTGCATTTACAAAAAACTTCGTCGTGTCGTTAACATCACCGAACAGGGATACCTAAGTCACGAAGCTGTGCAGTGGTCCCCATATCACAGGAAGTGGTTCTTTCTTCCAAGAAAAGAATCAAATACGGCTTACAATAAAACGCAAGACGAAAAAAAGTGGAGTGTTCATTGTCACAAGCATCATTGAAAGTTTTCTTTAATAGAATTTCATTCTCAACAATCAGCTTTCAGAGGCACTAATCTTCTAATCATTGGAAATCCGAATCTTACACAATTTGAAGTTGTTAGAATAGGAGAACTTAACCACTCCGAACGTGGATTTTCGGCATTCGAATTCATTCCTGGAAAGAATGACACGCTTATTGCTGCTTTGAAGTCTGAGGAGGTCGGCAACCAACCGCCGCAGAGCTACATTACCGTGTTCAACATTTCTGGTCATGTGCTCCTCGATGATCAGAAACTCGATAATCAATACAAATTTGAGGGTATTTATTTTCTCTAAATGTAACATGGACATTTTTAATAAACCCTTCAACAGTTTCGAAACGCAAAATAGAAATCATTATCACCTTGTTCTTGGTATCTAATTAGATTTCACCTATTTCAGTGATATGTCTTGAAGGATAGACTCATCGAAAACCACTTCAGTGTTAGGAAGGACCATTCTGAGAAGAAAACTAGCTCGTATGATAGTTTTTCAGTCAAAGTTCTTATGCCGTTGACGAGCTAATGTAAGGTTGCAATAACATGAACACCTGGAGATTTTTCCATGAAGATTGACGTTTCCTCAGCGTTTGCTTTATTTTGAATACGAGAGCTAATAAAAATTAGATCACCTCCACAATTGTAGTATCACAGCTCATACTACGAACGCCGTGATCATCGTCATTACACAAGTCAGAGTTTCATTTTCTTTCACCAGTTTTACAACGTGCAAAGGTATTTTGGCAAAAACCTAACACTGTCTCTCTGAAAATATTGATAGCCACTTTTCAGAACATCAATAGGAAATTAAAACAAGTAAATATGGTAGTCAATACCGATGTCTGGTAGAGAACATTACCACTTTGTTGTTCTCACAACGACAGGAATTAGCCACGAAAAACGAACATTAGGCTCGATTTTAGTAATGTCATAGAAAAGCTAGTGATAGGTGAAACTCATCGGAACAGTTTTAAAGACAGATAGACTTTTTTCATTATGTGTATCTTAGTGGAAAAGTCAGGATAATGAAAGGCTATGTTGGGCAGCTACATGAAAGAAACCGCCTTAACAGCAAAGGCATAGATGACATGGAAAGTCTGAAAAACTTCTAGCCTCCTGTTCACCCAATAGATTATCGATTTCTTCATTGGATCAGAACTTATTATTCTACTTTTGTAGCTTGAAAAAGCAAACATTAATTTCCTGAAGTCGATTCCGAGATTTACTGTTATGAGCTGAGTTTGTTCCTAGCAATTTCAGTGCAATGCGAATTTCTTCTATCGCTAAGGTACTGAAAACCATTATTGATTTCATGCAAGATATCCAAACGTTTTTACTTCAAAAACTAGTTTCTTTCCTTTAAAGACTACAAAAATAGCTCAAGTGACAATCGTGGAAGAAATTCAGATGGTAGAATCTTTTGGATGTGTTACTAATATAGTAACACTGATATCACGACCACCAACGAGTTTTTCACCAAAACCATATATAAAAAACAATTTAATTGAAACCTTCTCTCAAAAAGCAGATCGAAGCAAAGATACTAGAAGAAATGTACACGCAACGGATATTTTCTAGTATCAAAGTCGCATAGTGGTAAATCTCCTTCCGATCCACAAGGGCAGCGACTGTTCGTGGTGGTGAAGATCTGGAGCAGACTTTGGCCAGGCTGACCTCGAGACTCCAGGTAACCACGATAGTTTAACCAGCAAGTCTCCGAAAAGTGGTAATTATGCTGGAGCCTGCACAACAAGTGAGGACGGGCCGTTCGAGTAGCAAGCAAGCAAGTTATCGCATATAGTGGCGCGTATAAAAAATGCTGGAGACCTATATGTGGGAATGCACTATTAAATTCTGACAGCAATGTGCATGTGTGATCGACTATAGTAATACGTAGTAAATAGCAGAATAAATATTATTCATGACCATAAAATGAAGCAAAGCCTTCTTTCTACAATCCTTGGATGTTTACAACTCACGAAGTGCCTTAATCATCCAATAATTCTTGGTTAGTCTCACAAAAAAAGTAAGGAGTTTACAAAGACTATTAAGTCGTCCTGTCCGTAGCAAACCCCAGCTTAGATGTCGACAACAGAGTGTCGATGGAATTATTGTTACCTATAAAATGCATCTACTCTAAAATTAACTGCACTGGAAGCTTGTCTTTTTGTCGTCATACTATTAAATTTGTATGATTCTCAACTTCTTACTCCTCGCTCTCTTCGTTTTTACGTCGTCAGTACATGATTATTACAATGTGGCACTAAGATAGATGTTCTGAAAAAAGCTTACTCAAGTTATCCACCAATTTTATACGCACTCTCTTCAGATTTCTGTTTGCAGATTTCAGCATTTTTCATCCGGTTCGTTGTATTAGATCACTAATCAAACAAGGTTCTCAGACAGTCATGTTAACTCGGCTGCAATCTGAGGGCTTTGCTCCCTTTGTGGACCCCATCGCATGTTCTTCGCAGGCGGTTCTTTCTAGGAACCTCTGGATATCCCTAAAAAATGATTCTCAGGCTTTCACCACGAGTAGTCACCGGCTTTGCAGATTGAAGACGATTTTCGGACAATTCAGACACTAGTTCGTCCAACGCGGAATGGTTTTGCTAGTCCTTTTACCCACACATATCTAGTATCAATTTCTAGGTGGAGTGTTGAGTTAAGGGCAAAATCGAGAAAGTACCTGGGTAAGCGGGCCTCTCTACGAAATGGATGACTTCGATACCACTGCCCTACCACCTATACGGTAACAAAAGATTTACAACATTAATCCTTCGAAAGTGTTTGGCTTTTGTGCGCGGTTAACAAAAAGAAAATCCACGTCGCGACAACTAACAGTTGTGTGGATCACCGATTTGGACCAGTTTAACTCTGAAGGCATAAGGCGTCGAAACGTTAACCAAATAAAAGTTTTATGCCAATTTTTAACATCGTAGTCTAAGAAAATATCGACTGACTGTAGTTAGGTTCGAGGAAACTCGGTTTTAAAACTTGCATCTCTGGTTCTGATCGATAAAGTCAGCGAAGGCTCTTAGAAACATTGATTGACTGAAGGCATTTTTCGCGAAAGCAAAATTTACATAGAAGTGCGAAGAATTGTTCATAGGCTTTGTGAAAGGTTGGAAAAATTATAAAAAAGCGAAGAATATATGATTAGCAGAGCGAAAAAAAGTTTGGTTAAAAAACACGCTCAGTTAATGTTCAACGAAACTTGGAATATGATTGCAGTGTTATACTTCACTACTTCTTTCCCATCACCTGTATCAACCATCGTCCCGCTGATCTCGAGTGGATAGAGCAGGCGCCAGCAAACCTTCCGTTTTTACCCGTCGCAATAAATAGTGGTCCAGTGGGTTCTGCTCGCTCTTGGGACTTGTCGAGCATCATATCTTTCTTCTAGGCTTTTCGTGAAGAACTCTGACGATCAGGTCGGTGGTCTTTCTTCAGTGCGTTTAACATCCCGAGAAACCTAGTCACTAACGGCTCTTTCCCATCGGTTGTCTTTCATACGCATTACGTGTCCGGCCCACCTTATCTTCGACTGTTTGGCCCACAAAACGGCATCCTTGATTTTTGATCGTTCACGCAGGTCGGAGTTTCGGATCCCCTCCTTCACTTGTGTGAGACACAATAAGCGACCTTTCGACCGCGCGTTCAATAATGCTGGACGATCTTTCATGCTGCTTTCGTAGCGACCTGGTTCCTGACGCATTAGTTAAGCCAAGAAGAATAGTGGGGTCGAAACGGTGAGCACGGAATCGAGTGTTCCTTGTACTATTTCTCTTCACTGAAGCCTTGATGTTCTTGAAAGCTCCGCAATTCGCTCGTTTCCTCTTGCTCAACTCTCAGCTAAGTCTTTCATCATGTTGATTTCCTGATTAACTTAGGCGTAACTGGAGCATTCGGAAATACTCGTTCCGTTGAGAGTGAATAGGGCATACGAAACCGTCCTTCCTCAACCTTGACTAATGAACAGAATAAGTCCCAATTTATAGCGGTTTGATGAACTAGCTTTTTGAACTTAGCGGCTTTTCCTCCTCATCAGCGAAGAATGAAATCTGCCACGAAGGAAGCGACGATTTGATTTCGTGCAGAATTTTGGGGCAGCAGCAATATCGGTCAGGCAAAGCCTTCGATTTGCTATGTTGAACTGTATTTTGTTATGGTACTTAGCATTAGTAGACTCCCACGTTGACCGTTAAGAGTGGAGCTTTTGGAATTGCGAATTACCATGAATGAATAACTTTCTACGTCATGAGAAACTCAGACGGCCACTCACCCTGCTCGTTCCATTCTGATTCTTGGGTTTCAGTGTGATGTTATTCAGAAGTCCTTCTGAATCAAATTTTAGTATTAAATAAAAAAAGGATAATTCTCTCGGCGTTGATCAATCCTTGAGGGATACGCCATGTATTCGACTTTATTAAACATCGTCGAAGGTGACTGAGTGCATATCTGGCCTTTACAGTGACTCGCGGTGCCCTCCCGATGTATTGAGCCAGTGCTGCCATCCTCCCAGACAAGTTTGTACCAATTTGCGTACCGCGAAAGAGTGGGAGGCTTGGTGAGCTATGGGCGCGGGGATCAATTACACGTGTGTGTCGCATTGGCGCTTCCAGCCACTGCGCCACACGCGCCCTGGCCACAGTGAATTTATAAAGGAGCAGCTCTATATTGAAGTTCTCTGTTCCCTTATCACCGCCTCGAATCTACAATACTAACAGGAAAAAACAAATTTGCATTCTACTCTCAAAATTCTCAAGATTTGGAGTTTCTATCGAATGCGCGGAGAATGTTCTTGACAACACCGACTAAGAATACAATCGGCCTATTCAACATCTTCACGTTAGCGATATGGAAACTGAGAGCTCAAAGGTCAACAAGAGACGTCTGTCTCCAGAAACACTCGAGCTGATGCATCGACGTAGAATTGCACGAGCTACAGACAAGCGACAACTAACGTCAACACAAAACAGTGTAGACAGGCGATAAGAGATCTTGAAGACAAAAGAGCAGTAGTTATGGTCGAAGCCGCACAGGCTGGAAAAAGTATTCGAAAAGTTTACCGAGGCTTAGCCAATAACAAAACTAAGACAATTGCACCGCGATGCACCGATGGAACAGTTGCAGCTTCCAGAGAGGCAGTAGAGAAAACCATTCATGATAGCTATTTAGATCTCTTCAATTGATACGTCCTCCTACTACGTATGAAATAAAAAAATACGGATATGTCGTAGTACTGGTAATACTTTCGGAAATCCGCCATGCTGCTTCGCCGGTGAAAAATCGAGC